CCTGGCTTGGAAAGTGTTTCGCTATGAAGGACCTTGGTGAAGCTGCCTATATTTTGGGGATAAGGATTTTGAGAGATCGGAGTAAAAGACTAATTGGACTTAGTCAAAGTACCTACTTGAGAAGATTCTGAAGAGATTCAGAATGCAAACTCCAAGAAAGGAGAGTTGCCCATCCAGAGTAGCGCCAAGCTGAGTAAGACACAAAGCCCTAGCACTGAGGCTGAGATAGCAGAAATGAGTCGATACCTTATGCTTCGGCTGTAGGTTCGATCATGTATGCTATGACGTGTACTCGACCTGATGTAGCCTTTGCCTTGAGCATGGTTAGCAGGTTTCAGGGGAACCCTGGCAAGGCACACTGGATTGCGGTAAAGAATATTCTCAAGTACCTACGAAGGACTAAGGACTGGGTCCTTACCCTCGGTGGGAGTGATGACTTGAGAGTTGTAGGGTATAGTGATGCTAGCTTCCAGACTGATAGGGATAACTTCCGCTCTCAGTCGGGCTGGGTCTTTACCCTAAATGGAGGAGCAATTTCTTGGAAGAGTTCCAAGCAAGAGAGGGCAGATTCTACTTGTGAATCAGAGTATATTGCAGCTAGCGAAGCGGCAAAGGAGGCGTTATGGCTGAGGAACTTCATTGGAGACCTTGGAGTTGTACCAGCTATTAAAGAGCCGATGGAAATTTTCTGTGATAGTGAAAGTGCTGTTGCCTTAGCCAAGGAACCAAGGGATCACGGGAGATCCAGACACATCGACAGAAAATACCATTTCATCAGACATCGGATCGAAGAAGGACTCCTCGTGGCAAAGAGGGTATCATCAGATGAGAATCCGGCAGATCCCCTCACGAAGGGACTGACTCGGGTTAAGCATCTCCAGCATGCTCGGAGCATAGGGCTGAAGGATGATATTAGATTTAGTAGTTAGATAATCTCGAAATTTGTAAAGTGTAATTGACATTTGATGATGAATAAAAGTGTTTTATTTATGAGTAAAGTGTTGCTATCTCTTGTCGATCGTTTACTATATTTCTTTTGCATGTTTTGACTTCCAGAATAATTTTGTTTGGTTTAACATATTATTCAAACCTCCACAGTCGGTCATATGTCGGAAGTAGGTATGAATCAAGTGTTTGATTGTAGAGGTCTGGGACAAGGCTACAACAATCATGAGTGCTCATAAGTTCTGAGCATTGGACTCAACCCACGCTCACTGGAATCACTTCATGGAATTCTATCTCGAGTGATCGTGAGACGGTAATATCATATAAGTCTTTAAACCTAGAGATATGATTTGTTACTTACGAGTTGGTTATGCATTGATTGTACGAAAAACGCATTGGTAACTCGATGTTATAAAATCGTGCTCTTATGTGTAATTCAATGAGTAGTAGAACAAACATATGAGTCGAAGTTTATCTGTTCCTTCTTGGATTAGAAGCTGATATCTGGGCCCCTCGATGATTTTGTTTTGACCTATGTACCGGGCCCGGTCAGAACTAGATTGATGTGTTCAATAAAGTTCTTTGTCAAACAAATCGGAAATCGGGAAACAAATGTTGGACAATAAGTAAGACATTGTTCCATGTATTTGTCCGACTGATATCTAGAACAGAGGATTATATGATCACTTATCTTAAATGGCGTACCATCATCTTCTCAAGTTTCGAGAAACCTTGTAAAGAGCTACGATTGCCGATCGGTTCCTGAAGTCATACTTGCAGTAATAGTTACTAGACTTATCCAAGTGGGAGACTGTTGGATAAGGTGTCTAAGTCCATAACTATTTCTGGTATGTACTTGACCCGACCCGGCATGGTCCATTTGGGTTGCATGGCACCATGCAATTGGATAAACTAAATGAGAGAAATAACGCTTGGAGATTATTAATATATTATAAGTTCTAATATATTAATAATATTATTTGATTAGTTTGATCAAGAATTAATTTAGAATTAATTAAGTGATCAAAAGATAACTAATTAAATATATGGGTTGATTAAGTAAATCATCCATATCTTGTATAGTGGGCTAAAAGGCTCCATGGATCATCAAGTTGGGTTCCACCCATAGGATGCTCCATGGATGCTCCATGGGAGTTACAAACCCATGGGTCATGGAAATGAAGAGTCATGACACATTAGGGTTTAACCCTACATGTGTCAACACTATATAAGGAATATGATCTCCTCCCAAATCGGTTGCAACAAAGTAATAAGGGGGCTTGGCCGATTTTGAAGAGTGTGTATTCTCTCATAAGTTCTTCCAAGAGCATTTGGTGTTGTGTGAAGCATTTGAGGCATCACCACTTGAGGTGCTAGGCTCACAAGGTTTCAAGGAACACAAGCAACAACAAGGTAAGTTATTCTATCTATACTTTATGTTAAAATTGTTCCCCATGTATGCTAGATAGGAATATAACCTTGGAATTCAACTTTGCATGACAAATTAGACAAACATAGATCCAAGGTTATTAGGGTTGCATGTACACTTAGGAAGTGTTAGAATGCTCAAAACCCATCACTAATAACAACCATGAAGAAAATAGAAGATACATACCCGAAAAAGCATCTGAAGGAAATCATAACCTCCTCCTCCTGAGTTACCCCGACCATCCTGAGGACTTGGTACAGAACTCCCCTCTGATCCAAAATGACAAGAACTAACAATAACATCCTACTTCCTAATGGATTCTAGGGATCCACAAGTCTTAGGCTCCAGATTGGCCCCCAACTGCCCTACCACAATCTTGGCCCAAAAGGCCAAGAAAAGACCGTCAATGAGGTCCAAAATAGACCATTGTGGTGCATTCCAAAACACCACGAGTAATCTCATATGCGATGAACTCCCACGACCGCACATCCATCGGCTCAGTACCTGCTCCTAAGCAGGAACGAGAATCTAAACCCCATTCCCAAGTGCTCAACACCATACTGAAACAAAATAAAAAATATCTAAGTACACCAAATAATCCTCATCCCATAGGCTTCCTAGATTCCCCAAGACTCTCCCCGATTCGAGTATGTATTCTACGCTTTTAGTAGTACGGGCCCAATACTACCTTCCACACCTATCCATACTTTCCTCAAGAATCCTCCCGAATCCTCTAAGTCACCTTCTCAAATCCATTCATCAAACACTCACTACCCAATACAACAAGACCCACCGAAGCAATCCCTATGCTTTCTTAGGTTCCCGACCTCACCCTGTCATCAACTGCTGAAGAACTTCGCATATTTCCAACTACTTAACTCATTAATACAATCATATGCAACAAAGATTAGATAATCCTTCGAGTAACAGACTAATCCCTACAACGCTTGGACTCAGACAAGAGCTGCGTAATAGGGTCAAATCCATCACTCTGAGATTATTCAACCCTTGTCACATCTGATTTGACATATTCACTTAGTAGCTAACTCCCATCACTTAAGAGTTCTATAAAGAACAAAGCAAGAAGCATTCATGTAGTAGCACTCCAATCCACCGAATAATCACAAGCATCCAATCCTACATACTACAACCTAACCGAGGAGCTCCCACTCCTGCCACTAATTGCCTTACACATATAAATTATACCCAAACCAGCATCCCATGCTTCCTAGACTACTAGGCATCACATATCAGACCAACCTATCATTGGTTAACTAGAACTAGCATACGAGTCTATAAGATCATACAATAGGCATAAAAGGCATCTCTCCTAGCATTCTATCATGCAAAAACTAAGCATATCCTTAGCCCTAACTAGCATGCGATTAACAAATTCATAAATCAAATCATACTAAGTAACATATGTGGGTATTTTGGGAGAAACTTACTTGAGCTCGACTAATTGCATGCACCACACCCTTTCTTATCTTATAAAACTCTTTTCTTAAAAATACTTTTCTTTTTGAAAACTTTACCAAATCCTCAGTTTAAGGCATGGTTGCAGAAATTGGGATTAATCGTTGATTAATCGCTTGGCATTTTCCAACCGTCGAGGATTAGGGGATTAAATGGAAATTTAGGATTAATCGGGTTTGGCGGGATTAATCGGCCTTAACGGGATTAATTGGTCAACAAAAGTCAAAAAAGTCGAAAAAAGTCAGAAAAAAGTGAAAAAAAAGGTCAAAAAAATTTTTAAAAAATTTAAAAACCAGCTTTCTTTTTTTACTCCAAAAATTTCAAAATTCAAAATTTCAAATATTATACCAAAATGTTTATATTTTCGTATTTTCAAATTTTCAAATTACAATTTTTATTATTTTCTAATTTTGAAGTACTTGTTTTTTCCTAAGATATATTAATATTTAATTAATTTTAATATTTTATTAATAGTCTATGGTCCCTGATTAATCCCCGCTAAGACCGATTAATCCCTTAACACCAGTCGACCGTAGAGCTACCGTCAAACGATTTTTACAACCTTGGTTTAAGGTCAGACACAACCGAGGGTATATTCGAATCCCTCAAACTAAGACTCTGATACAAACTTGTAACATCCAAAAAATAATGACAATTTTTTTTTCATTTTTAGATTAATAAAACATCAAACCACATTGTAGTCCTAAAACCAAGGTTGTTAAATGTATCGATACATCATCAATATAAAAATGAATTCTAAAATACGGAAACATGTGGTGTGTCCTCTACAATCATCCCGAGCTCTCTCATTTAAAAACAGAAGTACATGAAATGTAAACTAAAATGGTAAGCACAAAGCTTAGTCAGATCCCCAAGATACCAATTACCATACAAACATAAATCATATACTAGGCCCCCGCCCTCTATCGGGACTTGCCCGACATCGAGTCCCAGTCAGCCTCGGGCCCTGCCCAAGATCGAGCCCCACTCAGCTTCGAGCCCCACCCAACATTGATTCTTACTCGGATTACAAATATTTCCATCACAAGGCCCTGCCTAACATTGGGCCCCGCCCCATAGACACATAATCATATAACCATATAATCATACAAATATATAACCTTACTAGCACATGAGATAATCACAAAGATTATAGCATACCATACAGTGATTGAGCCCCGCCCGGCATCGGGCCTCGCCTGGCATTGGGCCTTTCCGGGTAAGCACACCACCACAAAACACATGCAAGAGTCATACAGGCATCTAGCGTCCCAACATATAAAACATGTGCAGGAATTGGTGCCTTCGACCCGCTAAACCCAGCGAGGAAACTCACGTCGCACTTCCGAATCTCACAGAAAGAATCCTTGGCTACTAGCACGCAAGAATTCCTGCACTATCAATCACAAGTTAAACATCCATCAATAATCGGATCTGACCCACACTAAGTTTCCAAACTAGGGTAAGAGACCTTCTTACCCTCTTTATAACTTGGCCCCAAAGCCAAGGACCAATTCAACAATCTTAAAGGCCCAAATGAGGCCCAAAACATCACAAGGTCAACCCTGATCAAAATTTTGGTTAAAGTCAAAGTCAACAGTCCATGTTAACCAAACATGCTGTGTTGACTTGAAAACACACTATGTTTCGCCATCATCCAAATAATCGGGAAAACCCCATCCAACACGCTGTGTTTGCCTGAGTTTCAACAACTTAATACATTAAGTTGTTTTCTCTAATTCCAAGAGCTCCAAAGCTCATATCTCGTCTATAATATGGTCCAGAAGGATACAGTTTCCAACTTTATCCATTGGGACTACCCACAAAAGTTCAAAACTGAATCCATAAAGCTTAATAATGCAAGATCTTAACCAAGAAGCACTTAATCCTTAACAACATAACCCCCAAACATAGGTCTGACTTCCTTGATCTAGAAAACCATGTAAAGTTGCCAACTTTACTTTCATGTTTGTCTAAATGAAGCTCGTATGTTTAAAAAGGACTTAATAAGTGACTTAATGTATGCATGTAACCAATTATCTCATAAAGTTTGCACCTATATGCTCAAGTAGTCCAATACAAACTCAGATATGGAATAACAAGCCCTTAAACAACTTCCCTCTCATCAACCTAAAAAGGGACCAAAAACACAACGAATCATAATATGAAGAGATCTAAACATCTATAAGTCAAGGTTACAACTTGATACCTTAGAAATTTTGCACAAAAGAAGATGATTCTGGATCGAAAACATTTCCACCAAGCAAGACAACTTCAAGATATCCTATTCCTTCACAAAGACCAAAATTGAGCACGAATTCTTACTAGCTCATGAACACCACCAAGAGACTTAAAGATCGATTTTAGGGTTTTAGTGGAAATGTGGCTGGTAAGGAAGCCGTCCATGAGGACTTAATGACTTTAAATAGGGTACAACACACTAAAAATTAGGGTTTTCTCCACCAGCCGCCAACACATCGTGTAATGGCATAAACATGCCATGTTGGCCTTAATGAAAGTCGCGTTCTTGTAATCTAGAAATGTTGTGTTGGTTCCTCCAACACCCCGTGTATAACCCTCTAAAGGGGATTTATTCCCAACAATTATTCATCAAGATTCTGGTTGTTACAAATTAATTTGAAGGCTTTTGGTATAATATTTGATCTTGACATTACATGATTATATTATTCCTTTAATTTACTAAACAAAATATAAATACTTTAATCATATTTAATTAATTGTCATAAGTATCAGTTAAGTACCAAAAGCATATTTAGCTATAGTGGTTTAGTTCTATATAACATTTAATTTGAAGTGGAAATGTTGGAATATTAAAATAGAACTTGAATGCAATTAGTTAATTTTTAGTATATCAATGTGGTTAAAAATATATATTTTAATCATTGAAAAAAATATTGGGATCTATGGATGTTATTGTTGTTTTTTTCTCACTATCGTGATTCTTATTTTAATTATATAATATTTTTAATTCTTATCTTTCTAAGAGTTGTACTTTAAAAATTTTCCACATCATAACCTTACATTTCCAAATTTTTTATTACAAAATGATTTTCGAAAGAGTCTATATTTTGACGATTCTTCTATTATAATTTTATACACATAAATGTGATTATATTTATTAATTGTATTATATATTTGATAGATTTTACAAAGTATCCTCATTTGATTTTAGGTTTTAAAATTATTATATGCCAGTTTAGTGGAGTTAAAAAATTTATTTATTTATTTAGTTTCTACATATTACTGAATTTTATTTTGTGTTTATAATACATTAGACTAATTAGTCAATATATAATAAAAATAATTATTCCGGATATATGTACAAAAGCACAACTATATATATATATATATATATATATATATATATATATATATATATATATATATATATATATATATATATATATATATACCTTTATATCATTTTGAATTTAAAAAAACCCTTATAATTAATAGCTATCATTCGAAAAAGACGGAAATACAAGATTTTAAAAGAAATTGATGGCTAAAAATATGATGTTGCTTACATTTTTGTGTTTTAATATGATATTGATTTAAATTATATAAAACAATTAGTTTTTTTTTTGAATAAACAAAAACTTTATTAAAAGAGCACCTGTCTTAAAGAAGAAAGACAGGATGAGAACAAAATTAGAGAATGTCCAAAAGATTAAAATACAAAACACCCCAATTACAATTGCCATAACAATCCTTATATATCACTCAATTGAACACCAAAGCAATGATGTTATTCACCAAGTACAACTGAGACATTCAAACTTTATTGAAGATTGAGTATTCCTAGATTTCCAACCACACCATAAGAATCCGTCGATGATGGTAAGAAAAAAATTTCGTTTTTTTGGACATCTCTCATTGGGTAGTGAACCCCACAAGACCACTAATCGAATCAAATTGTTGAATCAGAATGTTGCACCAGTTAAAGAGCGAAACTAGAGCACCATTGGAGAAAGGGAAAAGGAGGAGGGAATGATTAGAATTGTCCCAGTCGCCTTCATAATGATGATAAGAAGTATTCGAAATATTAAGTTTACTTTTATCAAGGGCCACCGATGTTGGGATCCTATCCAAACAAGCTCTCCAAACGAAACAAATTACATTAAGCGGAGCCAAACAAATCCAAAGAGTTAGATTTTTAATAGGTCGAGTGACCTTCAAGTTAATAAGATGTCTTAAATCTTGGATATGAAATATCCCATCATTCGACAATCTAAATTTCGAAGTCCTTGGACCATTCAAAGTTCACATTGACGAAACAATCTCATTGAGACTAAAGAGCTCCGCGAGATCACACGGATCTAGCGTGACCGTCTTCCAAGCCCAAGATGATTGGTTTCCATACAAAAACAATTAGTTAAGGATGGACAAATCAATCGTATAATATGGAGAACATAATCGAGCAAAAGTAAACAAAATGAACGTAAGTTTTGATATGTTTTAGTATACAGCAAGGACACATTAGAGATATGTATATCATATTTTTATTCGGCCATTTCTCCTAAAAATTACTATTTAGTTCTATCTGAAACGTACATAATAATATAATTTTTTTTTCTAAACAAAAAAACACTATAAGAGTTTATCTACATTTATATATACAATTGTTTGTGCCTTTCTGCATACATCCCTAATTATAATATGTAACACCTGCAGATTCAAGCTAGTAAATTTCAAAATAATAAGCGTTAAAAGTGACTTTTTGATAGAAGGTTATTTAGCATAAATAATCTTAACTAAAGTTATAGTATATGACACAAGGATTCCGTATATATAAAGAATGCTAAAATACGACTTATAACGTATACTGCTAGAAAAACAACCTTTTACGACGCGCAATGCGTGTCGTAAAATGCTCAGACAGCGCACAAAAGCGTGTCAAGGAAGACCCTGTCATAACGAGAGACGACACGCTTTTGCGCGTCATCTATTTACGATGCGCATTTACGACATGCATTTACGACGCACATTTAGGTCACACAATGCGTATCAACGAAGCCTCGGTCATAAAGGAAGACGACACACAATTGAGTGTCGTAGCCTTACGACGCGCATTTACGACTCGCATTGCGTATCATTAAAGCCCTTGTCAAGAAAGGTCATGTCATAAATGAAGACGACATACATTTTTGTGTATCGTAATTTTAAATGTGTAAAAAAATTATTTATAGATTTACTAATTTTCAAATTAAATTTGCATTTAATGTCTCATAATAGAAAATAAAATATTATATACAAAAAATACAATCCATGCATAAAATTTAATGTCATACAAATAATCGTTCCATGGAAATATAAAACAAATCAATAGAAGTTGTAACAGAAATTTATAATAGTTCTAATAACCTAATATGTGCCTTACTATAAACAAGATTTGTGCTGATTTTTTTTAAATGTGTGCCTCACTTGTCTCCACTATTCCTTAGTAACACCACTCAAGGACTCTAAATCTATGAACTTGCTCACAATATCTATATTGCCTGCAAAAGAAACATAGCTACAAAATAAGTGTGAAGATGGATTATTACATAGCTACAAAAATGCCATAAGAAATAGCCTACCAAATGCATTTCTAGGTAGATACAATGACATGCCATAGGAAATAGCCTACCAAATGCATTTCCAGGTAGAGTACTTTTGGATCGCAGTTTCTTTTATTATTAAATATCATCGCGCCCCTGAAATGTACATGTGCGGTAAGGTTAAATGTTTATTTTTTGAACAATAAGGACTAGATGTCATTTCTTTTTGTAAGAATTGTAAATAGAAAATCCAAATACACCCAAAACATGGTAGAACAATACCTGTTTGATTTGGAAATTTGTCAAATCACGCTTGCAAAATCGAAAAAAATTGCCACTCAAACTAGCCAAATCAAAGCCCTACATCAGGATAGAAACAAAAAATGAGTTTCAGTAAGGGTAGGTTACCTATCAAACATCCCCAAAGGGTGAAATTTCTCTAATATTTCTTGAACATCTCTCTTATGGAGAGTTTCAGTAACAATCAGGACATCATTATCAATCATGTGACAATATCTGAGGAGAAACGGAAAGATTAAGTCCCAAACAAAGATGAATATGCAAGAATGGTTGTAACATGTGGATTACAACAAAAAATAAAGTTAGAAGGGTAAATATATCTACTTACGTTATATACTATAGGAAGGTTGACAAAGGCCTGATGGCTTGTAATAACATGTGTTTATCAACTAATTTCAGGTTGCATTTTTTTTGAAATTGTGGTTGTATGCAGAGGTGAAGGATCTACAAGAGATCAATATAAAATGATATTTGCATAAAAAAGTTCCGTTTTCCTTCTTTTAGTATAAAAATTATTATCTTTTTTACCGAGCCGGTTTTTTGGGTTAGACCAGTATGGTTTAATCCGGTTTGGTTGAACCACTGGATTTTGGCCATTATAAAACCGGTATCCATACCGGTTCAATCATTCGGTTCGGTCTGGTTTTCAAAACCATGCATACAAGTAATTCAAATTCACATTTTCAAACAAGTAATAGAAATTGAAATTAACTTCTGGTTTTTATGGATGAACATGAACTGATGTCCCTGATAAACTAAAATATCTTGACCAGTTAACAATTACCAAAGCCTTGCTATTGTATTAGAGGACGCTGAAACAAACCATCAATAAGAGTAGTTGATGGCTTATGGTGTGTTACTTTTAATCATTATTATTATTATATCAAAAAGATGGAAATTTTATCAAATGTACACCTGTAATGAGATAAGCACCATAGAAAACACCCAATCCCATACCCATCGTTGGTGCCCTGAAACACACATATCATATTATTACTATTATATTAATTAAAAAAAGCATGCAACATTTGTTTAAGACATGTATGTATATAGTAATGTAAAATATAACATAAACATACCAACTAGTGTTTTCTCCAAAGTAAAACCATCTACATTCCATATCTTGACTGTACTATCAGAGAATGCAATTGCCAAATACCAACCCAACATAAAGCCAAAAGGAATGAGAAACAAGTCTAAAGTGTAACCGCTGAGGTTCACAAAACTCGGGTGATAGTATACATTTGAGGATATAACCATCCAGAGCCTATAGCTTGTGAAGTGGCTCAAAATTGGTCATTATCTGCTATAAATAACACAAATCATAAGATCAGATTAAGTCAAAAAGAAACAATATTAGTTGAAAAAGGAGAATAAATAGTGAATTTACCTGTGTCCAACGTAAGAGCCTCTAGACATAACAAGTTCCTTTGTTGTTTGCAGCAACTACCAAGCTTCCATCCCACATCACCGTCAATGATCTCATTGCTATATCAACATCTGGTACCTAGGTTTAGTTAAAAATTTAAACCCATACAGCTTAATTAATTTATATATGCTGAAAATTAAAAATAATATCATACCAGCTCACAGCTACAAGAGTTTGCAGTCAAGTCCCATACACAAATATTCCCATTTTGATCACCAGATATGAGCTCAGGCTGGACACCCAAAAACAAAGCAATAAACCAAATTATATATAGGTCCATGTCTAAAATACAAATCTAATTTTCACAAGAAACAGAATCATAGACACCTGATTTGGATGTAAATTTCTTTTTTGTTGTCTAAACGATCTATGACATTTCCCAATGTTTTAGACATTTTCACCCCTGAATTAGTTGTTTGTTTTTTTTTTATATATATAAAGTAAGAAATGATTATGTTATAACAAATACAGATCATTTAAGATGCTGATTTTTTATTTTTTTTTATTAAAAATTGTTTTAAGCTCACTTGAGAATCACAAATAAGTCCATGTAGATACACTTGTGTATATGGGACACTCCCTGTGAACTCAATCCCCATCATCACCATACGTGCAACCCAAAAAAAAAAAAAAAAACAATTTGCCATGCCTATTTAAAAGTTATAAAAAATTACTGTTTTTATTTATAAAAAAATGAAAGAAGTAGAAAAATACTAAATACATATTACATACCCTGTTTCAAGAACTGATGTAGGGTAGAAGTGTTTGAAATCTATTGAACACACATCAAGCCATCCTAAAGTACTAAGCGACCATAAAGAACTAAAAAAATCCCAAAAGGGTATTTTAGACATAAAAATTTAAAAGTATTGAAAGTGAATTAAGGTTTGTTATGTGAACAGACCTTGAAAACTAGGTGTCAAGAAAATCTGGATCTTGATATATTTAGACATTTTTTCTATATTTCTTTTGAGCTTTTTTAAGAGCTTCATCTTCAGTTTTAGCAACTATATAATCTTCTTCACAGTCTTTTCCTACAGTATACCAAACAGGAATCCTGTGTCTCCACCATAATTATCTACTTATACACCAATATTTTATATTTGAAAGCTAGTGATTATATATCTGAATCTTATACCATAATTATCTACTTATACACCAATCTTTCCTACAGTATACCACACAAGAATCTTATACCAAGTACTAGAAATGTTATTTACAGCAACAACACTTCCGAAAAAGAAAATCTTGATGATTACCATAATTTATGGGGCTATTACATAAACAATATCAAACACACTAAGCCTAAAGACATCTTTTACACAAGAATCAGTTGGAAGAGCCCATGCTGATAACACCCTTAAAGTATTTTCTGCAAATACCGATTACATTTCATAGTGTCAATACATATTGGACAATGCTTCAAATCCTTATGCATTAATGCTAGCTAGTTCAATTCTTTTGAAGCAAGTGATTGAGCTTACACTAACACTACATTTGCATCTTGATATAAGTAATTACTCTTATAAGCCTCTTCTTTTACACATCAATACAACTTTCCTGACTTGTGGAAATCTAATGAAGGAAACTACATTATTACCCATTTATCAAAAAAGGGACATGAACTTCAGCCATATATGATTGGATCTTTAATCTAGCTCTTGTGTCAGGTGAGAAAGTTTGGTTGGTTTGATGATGATAGCTTCAGAGATGTAGTTAAAGACTGCACAAATTTTTTGATCCAGGTAGTATCTCATCTGCTACTATAGCATAAGTTTTTTGAAGGGGGGTTTTGGAGGTAAACTCGACTGATTTGCGGTTCTTGCAGACAACATTTGATTATACCGATGACGACCCCGCTATAGGGATCCTGTATCTTCACTCCCTTTACATACATAAAAATAAATAAATCAGAATTTGAAACAAAAAACTAGTCATTGAAAGAAAGTTATTTACAGAATTACCTGACAGCTGGATTGAGAGGGGAAGAAGCAGAGGGAAGATTAGTTCCATGAATGAAATTGGAAGAACCAGGAGCTGAAGGAGCAGGACCGGGACCAGATCCCGGAAGCATAGGTGGTCTAGTACTGTGATTCAGAACTGGTAACCCACTCGGACCTTGAAAACCAACCGGAACAACATCTAGGTTCGATGAGATTGGTTCGTATAGTTCTAGAGGCCTATTTCTCTGTCGAACATGAAGCCATACCTAAGAAGGGGATGATTATGAAGAAAAACATCGGGAAAGTCGGTGTGGGTTGGAGGTAGTTGAGGTGGGTATCAGGCGGGGTTTTAGGGTTTGTTTTGATCGATGATGATTTTAGGAACTTCAAGTATGAAATTATCGATGTTTTACACACATTGCTTTTAGGGTTTCTTTTGATTGAAGAGGATTTTACATTCGAAGAAGAAGAAGGGAGAGAGTATCAAGGCGGGGTCTTTTATTTTTTGGATTTCATTCCCCCATGGCAATTAAAAACTTGGAGAACGCGCGTTCATAAAGAAAACTATAAAGCGATAGTTTTAGACGACACACTTTTTTATGATAGGTGCCCTTCGTGTTTTTTTTTGTTGGACACTATTTTTAGGGCACGTACAAACGCATGTCCTCTATGCTTCAAATTTTTCAAAATTTGACATTATTTTTTAGGGCACGCACAAATGTACGTCCTCTATCAGCAAGTGTCATTGTTTCCGCGTCATTAAAGGGCTATTTTCTAATTGTGGTAAAAAGTGAATTTTTGATAAATTACTTTTTACCCTTAGTAATCTAAACGAAATTTGTAGTATACGTTAAACCAAGAGCGTGCATATAGAGAACATCCAAATCCGACTTCGTTTGAGGAAGTTATGATCTTTCTAAGATTTAGTGTGGCAGTGCACGACCCAGAAATTGAATTTTAGATCGATTGATTTTTAGCTGACACAACCTAAACAAGAATTGAACATCTTATTAATAGGAGCTCAACTATATAAATACAGTCAAAAATGGAGCTCGTATGATAAAGATTTGGATGAAACTTAGTCCCTACTCTTCAAGCACAACGAATTCGATACAGATTTGTAAATCTGAGATAGAATGAGAATTAGTCGATGAAGTCTAAATTAAAGTTATAGCAGTCATGAATGCCAAAACGTGGATATTAAGAACATCAGGAATAGAGTTTGTATGTTAAATATATGGATGAAGCTTAGTCCCAACTCTATGAGTGCGATGAATTCGATACAAATTTGTAAATCTGAGACAAGATGAGAATTAGCTGATGAGGTCTAAATAAAAGTTGTAGTACTCGGAAATACCTATGCGTGGATATAAAGAATGTAGAAAATGGAACTCGTACGCAGATGATACAGATGAAACTTAGGGCCTACTATATGATCAAACCCATATAAATAGATAACGAATTCGTCATATTTCCTTACTTAATTCCTCTAAACTCTCTCTAGAGCTCTTCTTTCTTTCTTGTCTGATTTCTCCTAGCTTTAGGGTGCGATAGAGAAACTCTGAGCCGTCAAAAAGCCAAAGAAAGAATATTTTAGAGTTGAAAATCTGCCCGCGTAATTTCCCAGTTTTCGTTAAAAGCCCTGTAAGTTACGCTACACTATTCTGTTTTTAATGTAACTTATATTTATAGTCATAAGTCATTATTCTAAACTTATAAATAAGATTTATCAATAATTAAAAGTCTTTATACTGATTGAACAACTTAAGGGGATGTTCTCTAGCCTGGATTTAGTGAGGTATTTAAATTGGATTTCCAAAATGTATACTTCGTATACCAAACAGACCCTACCTTGGATATGATCCAAGTTGATTTTTCCTTACTGGATAGATCATGAAAGTAGACTTTGAGCTAATGGTAAATGTGATGGGTTTTGATCATTCTAACACCTCTATGGTGTACATGCAACCCTAGATGCTTTGGATCTATGTTTCCTCTAATATACATGCAAACTTTAATTTTCCAAAGCATCATCCTAACTAGCATACAATAGAGTATCTTTACTACAAAGTTCTAGTTACATGACATAACTTTTGTTGTAGTTGGAAACCTTTTTTCAGTTGGCCTTTAAGAACTTAACACTAATAGTATGAATGCCTCAAATGGTAAAAGGAATGGATAAACTTCGACTCATATGCTTGCTCTATCTACTCATCAAGTCACACACAATGATATATTTTATAACACCGAGTTACCGGTGTGTTTACATATCATCAATGTGCAACCAACTTGTAAACTACAACTCATATCTCTCCATTTGAAGAATATAAGATATTATTGTCTCATAATCACTCGTGATAAATCCATGAAGCGATTCAGATGAGCGTGGGCTGAATCCAATACTCAAATCTTATTCCAGTTGTACTCATGAATACTCTAACTATGTCTAAAACACCTACACAAACCATAGAGCAATTCATGACACTCTTGCCTCAATAGCTACTTCTAAAGTATGATCGACTGTGGCTGTTTTGAATAACCTAGTTATTTGAGAAGTCAAAACATGCAAAGTGAAACACAAGAATAATAATAATCCTATATGGCCCTAAAAAATTTGAGTCTCATATTGATTACTCATTATTCATTATATAATGTTTCTAATAATCAACTTAATACTTGAATTAAAACAATAGTTATGCCATGCTCCAAGCATGCACACTATGTTTGTCTATGGTCCTTACTTTGTGAAATAGATCAATTTGAAAAACATTTCAATGATGGACATTTCACAATTCCAAATCCTTATTGCAAGTGTAAGAATTCCAAATTCTAGTTATTGCTAGAAAGTGTTAGATTCTAAACTATCATGCATTGATTCTTTGTAATGTCTAGGTACCAAAAGTCACAAACACTTGACCAACGATACTACAAAACTTTCCACTGGAGATTGTTAACAAAACAATTACAAGAAAGCGAAGTCTCAAATTCGAAGTACATTCCTTTGAACATCCTTCTTGCATAAAAGTTTCTAACTATCTCATGTTTTCTTAATCTCCAACTCCCAATATGGAAACATTCCATATCTTGCCATATGAAAACTCATTATTAATAAATCCTATCTATTCATAATAATTCAATATGGTCCATCCATTACTATACTTCCAACTTTCCTTAAGCGACCAATCCTTGGTGAACCTTAGATTGTCCTTAAAAATTGTTTAACAACTTTAGTCATATCCGGTTCTATTCTTTTTTCCCTCTTAATGCCCTAGACATTTAGAAAAAATTTAGAACACGAGAATATTATAGCATATGCAATCGATCCTATACCCGAAGCATATGGGACACGATTCACAATGTCTGACATAAAGACATGATACTAGATCAATCTTTTGCTACAATATTTCTATTTTCCATGTTCTCAAAATTCAAATTATGAAGAGGGATGCCATAATCATAATAAAATTTTGAGAACACAATTATTATTTCCATATATAGAATTTCCTTATGTTGAACCATTCAAAGATAACATTCATATATATTTGACTACATTGGATTAAAACTCAATTTAAGCTTTTGGACTTTGAAATGAAGTATAACTTTCTCTCCCTTAATTATAGCAAAACAACTTTTCAAATCCACAACTTTGCGAAATGAAAGTTTTGTTTTCTATAATTAACATTGATAACTTGCAACATTTTTCCATAATAATTATGCTTCCACTAGCTTAATAATTATTATCTTTATTAGCGTAACACTTATGCTCCCACTAGCTTTGACATATTCCTAGAAATCAGCTAGACTTCTAGAAATCAATACTTATTGAATCATTACCAAAGTTCAGATTTCTGATGCAAGGTGATTTGATATGACTTTATCTAGGCTTCTCAAACTCATACACCTTTTCGTAGATAGCTCACATGTGTGTCTAAACAATTTTAGAACTTATAACAATAAGTCTCAAATTTTTATACCTTTGCAATTTCTCACAATTCAAATTATGAAAAGGTATGCCGTAATCATACTTGAATTGGAGAATGCAAATATCAGAATTCTATCTTCTTAAAATCTACTTAGTGAAAGTGTTTCCTCACCATCATTTCCATGAATTGGAGAGAAACCTTATGACACTTATATTTTATGGTGCATGTGTTCCTATCAATGTGATTTTTTTATAACCATAATCACAAGACAAGGTTAGTGACAATTCCAAACTCATATGGACTGAACTTGTTCAATCTTGATTTCTTGCCATTTTGCAGCACAAGGGCCTACCATGTCTTCCGACTTGTTATGCAAACAACTGAAAACTCACAAAACTCACATACGTAGTCAACTTAACTGGAATGAGCACGTAAACAAAAATATGTCAACACGATAGGTTACAAACCTCAAGTCGTGTGTTAGTAATAAACAATAGTTTTTATTCGTGATCAGTTCTTGGAGATTTTCAAGATCTCTAAGACTCCTACTGACCTTTTGACCTATAAGATCCTCTTGTCAAGAACTGTAACATCCATAAATTTTATGCCAAATTTAAACTTTTTCAATCATAAATAAAAACCAAATAGCATTGTTTACAAAATGTTTTCAAATCATTTTCCACCAGAGTGTCCCAAAAATCATAACATAAGGATGAGGAGCGGTACGGTCATGCCTTCGCCTTTCCATGATCTCCTGAAGTACCTAAAACAATAAAATGAAAACTGTAAGCCCGAGGACTTAGTGAGCTACCCCCAAAATACCAATATCACACTAACAATACCATCTCAATAATAATCAATCAATCAACATGCATACTGGGCCATCGGCCTGACTGGACCGCCCTACCGGGCCTATAGTATGTCTGAATCTATCCCGAGCCTTCGACATGACTGGTCCATCACATGGGCCGACAGTCTCCCCGGACCGCTCATAGGGTATATTGGCCTTCAGCACAAAGTAGGACTGCCTCAACCCAACTACAAGCAAATAACCATGTGCGCATACTATCATATATTGGCATATAAAAACATCAAACATATCTATCTCACTGATCATCAATCATATAATTCTCTTGTAACTAAATTGCCGACCTAGCAGGTCACTAACATACCAATCCCTACGGATCATAAGAGCATAACATACTGTC